CTAAGTTCGGGTGACGTCACGGGCTTGAGGCATCTCAAGTTGAAGACTCCGGGCACCATTTGCTCTGGTGAGTTTTTCGTTGAAGACGCATGCAATCTTGTATTCGTTTTATTCACGGTAGTTAATTAGTGCCTCAAAATGCTAAGTTTTTTGGTTGGATTCGGCGAGAATGAAGTTTTTTTTTTTTCCTGATGCGATTGTCGAACCTTATTTGATTTCTCACCTCCATCCGGTACTGAGATAATTTTCACTGCGGGAAGTCATTAAAGAACAGCGAAACACTGAGGAACGAAGAAGACAACGCTCGACTCTCAAGAGCAACAAAAAGCGTTCATTTATCAAAAAATATTTAATGGGAGCCACATTTGTTGCAGAAACTTTGACTTTTCCTTCTGAATAAAAGTACCGTATTTACGCGAATATAAGCAATCCCCTTCTTCCAATTTTTGAAGCTCAAGAAGTAGGGGGGGGGGGGCTGATATTTGAATATTTACGCAATTTGCGTGAATATGCGTCTATATCAGGAACCCACGAAACAATCAAGCACGTCTTTTCTTCAGTTCTTTTGGAATTGAAGGCAAAAATAGTCAAGAAATGGTCAGCTTTTAACGCTTGTCAATGTCAAAATGGGGGATTCATTGACTGAAGGGGAAAGGGAAAGGTTGTGTGACACTATTTTTCCTTTTTTTGGGAAAACCTGAATTCAGTCGGAAATTTTAGGTTCCTGGAAATTCAGAGATTTAACTGGGTGCTCGTATTTGCCTATTGATGGAATTTTAATTTTGCGCATGAAAAAATCTAGGGGAATGCTTATGTTTGAGGGTTGCTTTATATTCGTGTAAAAACCGTATTGTTCACGCTGTCTCAACTGAAGCTTTGTTTATTTTCCGAATCAAGATGGTTGGCAGTGTGAGTCTGTTGTGATTGTAATGCCGATATTTTTATTTCCAATTTTTTATGGCGTCACCTTTTAAATCCGAGGAAAAAGTTGAAAATTGAAGAAGTTTTTGGAAAATTTTTTTGACACTGTGTAGAAAGTATAGCGTGTATACTTTCTTTGTGTTTGTTTATGCGTTTTATCTTCTGATTGTTAAGCTGTCTCGCATCTTCGAGTTCTGAATTTCACTGCATATCTAGTTCTCTAATGAAATATAATAACATATTTTTCATTCTTTCTTTTCAGTCGGAGGTAAAGGAAAGACCCTTTTCCTTTGCGGACGACCTCGTTGGCTCGCCGTCATGCCGTCCCCGCTCGCAACGAACCCGAGCACGGAACCCGAACCATTCCCGACGTCCAGCAACCCGCAAACCTTCGGCTCGACCACGACTCTTCGCCGGAGCAAGTTGTCCCTGGTGGAGAGTTTCTCTCTGGGTGGGGACGTGTACGAGATCCCGGGACGCGGTGCGGAAAGCGAGGGCAACGAGGTCTACCTGGATGACCCGGTTTTCCCGACTGCCGTGTTGGTGTGCTGGAAAGGGATCGAGGGGTGTGACGGTGCTGCACCCTGGCATCCCACGTCGTCCAAGATTCTTGACTCGGCCAATGTCCTGCTGTACACTTGTGATTCGGAGTGAGTGGGCTAGATATCGCGTTTTTTGAACGTTGATCCGTTCGATTTTCCTGTTCAGTGCGTCCCCGTATAACGAAAGACCCGCGCAACGAAAATATTGATACAGTATGACGAAATTATCGGAAGAGGGGAAACGGCGAAATTTTTCGCATAAAAATATTTCATGGCCCAAGAAAAATCAGATTTTAACAATTTTCTATGAAAATTTTAAAATTGAGGAAAATGAGAATAAAAGGTTTTTATTTGCCACTCCTTGACTTATGCAAGCTGTGAAATTCAGAAAGATCGGAGTGCAATTTCATCAGGATTAATTACGTTTGATGATCATACATTTTTAATTCCAAATCTTTTGCGAAAAACTAGAAAAAGGATCAGTTTGATAGTAGATAATGGCTTTTTTGTAAGTGTCTGAAACAAGTTATTGTACTTTCAATCATCCACAATGCAACCTTAATGGAAATCGCGTTTCGCATGACGGGAAATTGCACATAACGAAGGACACCTGGAAGCGAATTAGTTTCGTTATGTGGGGATTCACTGCACAATTCTCACGAAAAACGAGAATGTTTCAGCGATTTTAGAGCATAACAGACCACTGTGCTGTAGTTATAATTTTCAACACATACGTATTGAAGGTATGAACGAAAGTCAGAAATTCAATATTTTCAATATTTTGAAGGCGAAGGGTTCAGTTGAGCGGCTGGCTGAAGACAGAAGGAAGCGTGGTGAATGCATCTTTCATTGCGACTTGCGTCTCTGACCAAGCTTCAATCAGCTTCTGCACTTTGGAGCTTCCATTGTTGTACAGGGTGAGTAAAAAGGGAAATGTTTATTGTCCTTGCCATAAGTTCTTCCGTTGGAAAACATATCTTGACAAGCGCATTTTACGCCTGTTCGTTACTGTATTCTTGAATAAATGTTCAGGAACTCCGCTTTTATTTGTGGGAAATGTTTTTTAAAGTTCCGGAATGATTTTTCAAGTACAGTACATTTTCACGCATCTTAGGTTTTACATTACATTCCCTAATTTTTCAGGAACATATTTTTTTATGAATATTTTTCTGCAGGAAAATATTTTACGTGAAGTTCGTGACTGTTTCCACGAGCGTATTTTCACGCCTGTTGGACTTGATGTGCTTGAAAAATATTTCGAGAAGTTCGCTATTTTTTTTATTTGTTGCAGGAGAATCGGTTTGTTAAGTTCAGGAATGCTCTGCCAAGCGCATTTTCGCGCTTATTAGATTTTAAAGTCCTGCAGAATTTTTCAGGAACTCTTAGCTTATGTTTTTTGAAAATTGTTTCGTGAAGTTTAGGAATGTTTTGTCAAGCGCAGTTACACGGATGTTTGGTTTTACTTTCTTCCATAATTTTTCAGACGATCATGTGATGTACATTTTTTTGCAGGAAAATTTGTTCGTGAAGTTGTGCGAATATGACAGTGGTGTGAGCGGCTACATGGGCATGGATGGGGGTGTCTGGCAAGTGGGAGTGAACCAGATTCCTTTGACTGGCCAGCTCACCGCATCTGCGTTTACTCCTTTGGCGACGACAGCTCATACGGTAGGAAACTTTTTATGCATCACATTTTGAACTTTGGAATTGAAATGCAATTGTTGGAATTTGAAATTTGAAAGTCGGGAACTTTTTGTGAATCCAGGAGTGTTAGTGGAACTTGATGTGCCAATTTGAAAAAAAAAACAACACTAAAAACGAAATACTGTACCTTACGAAAATTTGACACCTGAAAATGATAGTGAAGTTTTTCTCAAGAGCTAAGTAGGAAAAATTGAAAATAATGTATTATTTGTTACTGTGTTGTAACTTGTATCTTGATTATCGTCATTCGGAAACAAAGGACGAAAAAGTGAAGAATAATCTTTCATTTTGGAATTTATTTTGTCGAAACGATGAGCAAAATTGTTGAATCCGGTGGAAAATTAATTTTCTCTCCCTGTCTATAATCACTTGTGTGTATTATGTGTAAGTTGTAAATTGATCGTATAGAATCTCATTTTTCAGGTCCATCTCGTTATGACGTGCCAGGATCGCTCGTTGATTTTCCACACATTCACGCGTTGGTCAGCAACTGAACCCGTGTCTGAGAAATTGACTCTGGAATTCGTGGGCAGCTGCGTGAATTGGCATCCCGACGGAATAGTTTTTGGCGTCGGTGGATCATCTGGGGAAGTTCAAGTATTTGACTTGGGATTGAACGTCATCAGGGTTGTGACGCATTACCATTGGCTCAAGCCGGTGACGAGCAAATTCATGCATTTGGGGGATTTTTCAAGGTGCGATTTTTTTGTTTTCTTTTTTTCTTGAATTTGATTTCTTCGTCTTTGATTTTTTGAATCCGGATGATCACTTTTCCGCATTTTTTGATCGATTAAAATAGATTAAAAATCTAAATACTGTAGAGTGAACACAGTTGAACATTATTGACGATACTTAATTATTTGAGGTATGGTGCTGTACTTCTGATAACTTCTGCAGAGGATCGGAAGAAAAACGTGAAAAAAGATGAGCTTCTAGTTTTTGGCGAGGAATCTCCATTTTTGCAATTTAAATCGGCTTTTTTGTGAAGACTGCTGTGTTTCTCCGTGCGCAACTGCGCCAATTGCAGCATGAACAGGTCAAGCAGTGACTCTAACAATAAAATAAATTCGAATTTGGTCATTTATATGTTTGTTTAATTAATATGTAACGTAGTACTGTACTGTTCTGTGGTTTTTTTGGTCTGCTTTTATGTCATGTGTTGTAAAGTATGTACAGTACAGTTTCTCTTTTACTGTTTTGCGAGTTGATATGGAGTGAAGATGCTTCTTACGATCAGTTTTGTTTGGGAAAGCTACTCTCATGTCCGGAATGAGAATAAGTTTTAAATTTGTGTAGAGAAAAATGCGTTCCATGACGCGAATGCCGGATACAATGAAGCGCTTCTTTAAACTACTGTATTACTTTCGTCTCATTTTAATTTTGAATTACAAGTTATGCACTACACCAGTAATTTTTTAGAATTCTTAAGATTGTATCTCATGGAGTCAATGAGTTTAGACATAAATTTTCTTTCTTTTTTTTACAGACATCGCCTGCCGATTTATAGTTTGAAGTGGACTCCCGTGCCAAAATGCAAATCTCTTTTCAAACATCCTTCTCCGGACACAACTGGATTGTTGGTACAAACGTTGAGGTACCTGCGGAAAATAAGCCGTCTTTTAAAAAGTAAATTGACGATTTGTTCTTGTTGTTGAATGATTTGTTACAGAGGGCCTTTCTGTTTTCTGCTTTTCACTGGGACGGGTTTTCCGTCACCCTGGGGATTGCCTTCATTGACGTCGATGTACCTGAAATTCGAACTCGTCTCGTGTGCTGTTTCGCTGCTTTCTGCTGTCGGTTGGAACGGCGACGGGACTGAGGCCATGGCTGCGTTGTCATTTATTTGCAACAAGCTGATGAAAGCTAGTCTCACATCGGAGAACCTCAGTGAGTTTCACTTTCTTTTTCTGTCTTTTTCCATCGCGTCGGAATGGATGAAGCGGATCGTTAATTTTACTTTTTGAAATTTAGTGACGATTCAGGCTGCGTTGGGAACGTTCCATGCGTCCAAGAAGCCATTGTCGAGTGCAGTGATGGCGAGACATGGAGGTTTCGTTCGAAATTTGACCCGTCGGTTCTTCTTGCTACTGCTCAAGTGAGATGAGATTATTTTACTGTAATTTATTTTGATAAAATGCTTCATGTGCTCTATTATAATCGAAAGAGAGGGAAATTCTCGAAGTTAGAATCAAGTTGTCGAATCCCATTTTCCCAGAGGGGTTTTCAATTTTCGTAACGTGTAGAGGCACTTGGCTAGTCGTTTTCTCGGTGAAATATCGTACTTTCGGGAATGTCGTGCAGGTGTCGCTTGAATCGCATAAAAAATGACGCTAACTGCTGCAAACTGCGTAACCCTAAGAAACAAACAAGCCCTTGTCTTAATTTTGTGCCGTAATGCATGCGACATCTAGATCATAATAAAATAAATGGTGGACTCGGGTAAATATGGCGTTAGGGTGAAAATAACCATGCAAATTATGATGAATGTATCCTTGATTGATGAAACCGTGGATTCAAATGTTTGTTGGAATACCAGCCGAAGAAGATCGCTCGTGTTTTGAGTTGACTGAGCTGTCTGTGATTTTGAGTCAGGTTTTGAAAGCAAACCCGTTACACTGTGGTTAGTCGATAAAAACTGAAAATCTTCTCGTAAGACCGCGAAGTCCGAATGACGACATTTTCCGTCTGCTTCCATCAATTTTGCGCGAAAACAACTGGACGAAAAATCATCATGTGCGGGGACTGCGCCCCTGTGTAAGATTCTTACTGCTGTAAATGCACCGGAAATCCTGTCAAAATCAGTATGTATTGTGGAGAAAGACCTATTTCTCTCGCCAGATTTTCGGCGAAGTTGCGCTAGGAATATGAGTAAAGATGATATTGTAGAAACGTGAGCATCATTATTCACTTGCCTAGTCCCAGAATTGACTGCTCCTTTTGGAAGTCAATTATAAATACAGTAGTGCATTCCGTAGAATGGAATTGCTTGTCTGTTCCAAATTGTAAAGAATGTTTCATCCTCAAATTCTGTATCAAAGAATGTTATACAATACTTAACTCACAAGCTGGCTGTGGAGATATGTATAAAATTCTGCTTAGCTAAAAAAGGAACATCAGCAAAATGGATGTGGAAATGATGACACCATATGCCAAAAAATTTCTTAAATAGGTCACGTGAGCATCAAAAAATTCTTTATACAGATAATTGTATTGTAGAGAACCCATAAAGAACAGGAAAAGTTTCCTGTGGGACCCTAACATTTTTTATGGAGAGAAAATCGTTTTACACATGATTGTTGTGTAGAGGGAGTCTTTTCTGGATGCTTGTTTTCTCAGCTGGAAACCTTCAAAACTTGATTTTTGTTCGTTGGTTACATGAAGAGGTTCCAATGCATCACAATGGACGAATCGAAAAAATGAGGTCAATTTCCTTTTAGAGGAGATTTAATATTCTGAACGTACTGTGCCTCAAAGTTAGTATACCAACAGGGTTTCCATTGCCCTGAGGATTGTCTTTATTATGACGTAATACAGTGAGGCCCCCACGTGCGGACACCTCGACCTGCGGACAATTTGACTTGGGGACACTTATTTTATCATAAGCAATTAATGAAAAAGGCCCAACATGAGGACACTGACTTTACATAGGGACATTTTGTTATGAATTGCTTATACATTTCAGGCCAAATTACAAGAAACGGATATTTCCAGCCCTAAAATTTATGTAAGAAAAGTTCTTGGGCATTTCTCTCGCCAATTTACCATCCATTTAGCTAATTAAAAAAAATTACCTCCAGCAGAGAGGAACTTCCTTCTCTCTTTTTTACTTGAATATTATTTTTACAGAGAATGCCAACATTTCTTTGTACTGTACAGATGTATCAGTATTCAATTCCCCAAAACCCATATTGTGTTGAAATTTATTGACAGTTTAAATTGGGAGACAATTTTTATTTTCATGAAATTGTGGTGAGTATTTTGTACATGAAACACCAATGAAAAATTATATAATGTAAGTCTAAGGGAAACTGAGACTTGACTTAGGGACACTCTTGATGCACCAATTACGTCCGCATCTTGGGGTCTTGCTGTATTTGATAAATTTGACTGCAAGGAATTCTCCTGGAAGGGAATTAATAAATGCTTGAAGTTAGATTCAAGTTGGTGAATGATGTTGTCTTTTGGGCAGCACATTTTCCCTTCTAATTTTTATAGTGAGAATTTAAAGTTCCTAATTTTTATAGTTTAGTTCGAGAAGTTCATTAAATCTGAGGTCCTCACTGCACTATGCTTCCGGATCACATCGTGACTGATGCTCTCTGCATATGTGATTCAGACACCAAGATTGGGTCACGAGTTTCCGACTCGCGCTGGACTTGGCTGACCCGGACCTGTTCATGGACCTTCATCACTGCGGCAAGGCCGTGGGAAACTTGGAACTCGCGTCTTCAGCACTGTCGCAAATGCATCTGCTGACTGGCGGGGGTGGAGGTCATCAGTCGCGAATCAACCCGCAACGCCCTCTGTTGGCTGACGAGGACAAGTACAAGGTGTTCAGCGGATCGGTTGGAGGCACTTTCAACGTGCTGGAGAAGCAGCTGAAGAATCTGAAACTGTCTTTGCGAGGGATCGAGAGTCCTGCTAGTACTAGTACTAGTGCCGGTGCTGGTGTTGTTGGGGTTCCAGTTATTATCCAGGGAGACGATGCGGAGGATGAAGAGGAAGAAGGTGTTCAAGTTGTGCATTTCGGAGTGGTTTGAAGATATATATGAGTGATCTGGTGCTACCCGTATATTTTTTTAAAAACTGTATTCCCTGGGGTCGGCTATGTGGAAATGCAGACCAAAGATCTCGATTCTATTTTGTTGTTATTCATTGTGCAAATTATTCAAGTCGATTTGAAAGGATTAACTATGATTCCCAATCATTTTACTACATTTCTGATTCATATAGTGACGATTCAGGCTGCGTTGGGAACGTTCCATGCATCTGAGATGCCGTTGCCGATTGCAGTGGGTGCGAAACGTTGAGACTTCATTTGGTCGATGCTTGACCCGTCGGTGCTTCTTGCTGCTGCTCAAGTGAGTGGAAAATAGGGCATTTTTATAAAAAAAAAATACCTAATTTACTTCATTATAATCTGATGAGAGGGATATGCTCGAAGTTAGAACCAATTTGCTGAATCCCATTTTCAAAGTTATTTAATCAATTTATCTGCTACAAGAGGTGTTCTTCAAAACCTGTTAAACCAGGTTATATAGTTTTTGCAGAGAAGTTTCCCAAAACTTCTTTGAGTGAGACTGTGCATAGAGGAATCATGCAATTTCAGATTTGTAATCTTCCTGTTTTTTTCTTTGCAACATCTTTGCTTATGGGCTCTTCTGACCCTTGCAGCAAAGTACCTCAAAAAGCTGTTTTTTGGTTGCTGTCTAGCTGATTTTGGACAGGTGGAGAAAAATAATTGATACTCCTCATACTAACTAAAAAAATGTGACAAAAGAATGACATTGAAGTTTAGGGGCTGATGTATACTGTATTACAGTTGAATCTCTTGACTTATGGAGGTTTTGAGTTGTAGATGGTTGAGCTGTGGAACCACACATTTTTGTTGTGGGAAACATAGAAGAATTGCCCTAAATTGTAAATAGTGATACCCTGCAGGGCCTTGAAGTTTGTCTAAAATTAGCCAAAAGAATGCTGAACTTTGAGGCAGGGGTTCATTGGCCCAGTTGAGTCACATCCTTTCAAAATACATAAAATTCTTTTTTTTCTCTGTCAAGAAAATACTAGCCAAAAGGCTTCAGAACATTTGACTATTGGAGGTTTTAGAGGACAATTTTTTGGCATTAGGGAGGTATTTAATGCACTGCGTTTAAGGGAATTTAGATTGAACTTTTAAAAAATTTACTTGGGTTTAGGGAGATTCTACTCATCAAGGTTCAACTGTAACTGCAGAATAAGCTGTGAATCAAGAAAAATCATGGGCAGCTGCTGCTTGCACTGTTGACTTCTGTCCCCTATACACTTAAGATGTGTGGGTATATGTTTGGATAATCTTTCCTTGCTGGAAAATAAAACTAATATAGATAGTAGGACAAGCAATAAGTAGATGAAAGGGAGGGAAACTGACTAATGTTAGGAACACTTATGTTTTGGGATGGTGCTTAACTTGGGTTCATGAAGTGCCATAACCCGTTGGAGCATGGTTCAACAAGGCATACCATTTTGGTACTTTCCTGTTATCTCAGTACCAATTTTTCTTTGTCTTGTGAATTCAGTATTTGTTAGGTTAAGTCAGGTTATGTTAATTGAAAGATATTTGTAACTAACATAACCTGACCTAGCCTAACTTCACCTAACCGCCTTCCAAAATCAGTTTCTGCTTTCTTTGGTTTTCTGCTGAAACTGATTTTGGGAGGCGGTTAGGTAAAGTTAGGTTAGGTCAGGTCAGGTTATGTTANAATCAGTTTCTGCTTTCTTTGGGTTTCTGCTGAAACTGATTTTGGGAGACGGTTAGGTAAAGTTAGGTTAGGTCAGGTCAGGTTATGTTAGTTACAAATATCTTTCAATTAACATAACCTGACCTAACTGTACCTAACAGCCTCCCAAAATCAGTTTCAGCAGAATGCAGAAAAATGAAATTCACAGTTTCTGGTTGGTGCACAGAAAGTAGGTACTGAGATAACAGGAAAGTACCAAAATTTCCCTGCTTTATTTCAAGCTACATATTCATCCTTGTGATGGTTTTTCTTTTCTTTCATGAATTGTGTCATAATATCTCAGTCCTTGTATATATAAGTGTTTGAGAATGGAAACCTGTGCTTCAGACTCCAATATATTTTGGCAGGATGCTTGTAGATGTTGATACAGATGCTGAATTTCAGGGAATAATCCAAAATTTCATTTCGCACCCGTTAATCAACAGCCACAGTTGTTACATTCATCAATTTTTTTTCACAAAAGGTTCACAAGCACTCTGCAGCACATGCAGCTTACAAATCAACTTGATGCATCTTTGTTTGGCTGAAAGATGCCTCAAGTTCATGTTGTATAAAATAAACTGGCAGTGTTGGATCTATAAGCGACACAGTATTTTTTTCCATCCAGATGACGAGTTCTTCGATTGTTTCCAAGTTGTGAATCTTCCTGTTTTTCTATGCAGGGTCATAGATAATTGTGGAAAAATGGATTTCATCTGGAAGCTCATTTGCAGATGTTGCCCAGTTCACCCAAACTGGAACCTTGCATCATATGCTTGGCACAGAAATGTGGCAACTGTATGCCTTTCAGGAGAATGTTGGATAAGGGCTGTAAAGAAAGAAAGAATACAATCAGTGTGCCATGTAATGACTGAAGCAGGTTTTTCAAAATCTTTTTTCTGATGTTCTTGAGCATTTTAAAGTTTTGATCCCCATGCCATTTTCTTGGGTACTGAGGAGGAAAGCACAGTCAATTAAATATATTGAAAGTTGGTAAATCTAATTATAATCTAAGGGGATCATAATCAATTGTAATTCCCAACCAGTGGTCTGCAGAGGTGTTTTGCCATTCCATGGGGAATTTTCTTCACCATAATAAATTTATCAACAGTGGCAGTGAAGTCTGTCATCTTTATCTGAAATTTCAGAAAGACAATGACAGTTTAGAGTATCTGATGAAAATTAAAAGTTGGCTTCTCTCCAATAATCACGTTTCAGACAAATTTTCACCTGCTTAAATAAATTATTTCAAATTTTCATTCTGAGAAACCTTTCTTCAAGCCCACCTTTCTAATTTTTAAAAACATTTTACCAAAGCTGCTTTGTTGATTCCTGATTTGATTATCACAAAAAATCAAATTTTTTCAAGTGCCTGCCATAAAGTCTTTAAAACAAAACTTTTTCAAGTCTGCAAACACTTCATTAAACTCTGCTGGTCAGCAGAAATGTTTTGGAAATTGTCTACCAATATGGAATTTTGCCAGTGTGCAGGCCCAAGAAAGCTGGGGTACAATTCTAATGGATACAGGTGGTACCTTGTAATTTGACCATCCTGAAACTTAATGGTCAAATTTGCAGGGAGGTTGACTTGCAATTTGTCCCTTGCCCTGCAATTTTACCTGCTTTTTCCATTTTTTTGCATTTTCAAACTTATATATTGAATTTGATGGAGTCACTTGAATTTGACAGATTGCAATTCAACCCTAGTTCGGCAATAGATTAGGGCCCAATTGCAATGTACTGTCTGTATTGAAAATCTAAAGGCATTGCTTTATTTTTTTTTACAATTACATCAGTATGTTCTTCTTGTACGTAAACAACTAGAATTAGTGATTATAACAGGACAGGATTTGTAGGACTGATCCTTGATTAAAGATGCATTGCATGAAACAATAAAATGAACACAAAAATACAACAAGTGCCAAGAAACAATAAGACAACACAAATGTATTCAAGAAAATTGGGTCATAATAATCATGCCAAGAAGATCTATGCAATAAAATAATTTACTGCGCCAATTTAAAATGCAGAAGTACAGAGAGATGTATTTTTCACTCCACATTGTAAGTTGAATCAAAACTATGCCATAGTTTAATTTGAATGTGCACTGCATGCTGTAAAGTGCAGTGACTGCATATATTATCAATTTAAACTGGAAAACTATTGGTATATTGAACCAGCCCTACTTTTGACAAACATAGTGCAATATTTTGGGGTTCTGGAGTTTCATGCATAACTCCTGATGAAGTTGCAAGGAACCTCAAAGTTACTCCAAAAAAAAATATTCAATAGTATGAAGTTCAATTTCAGTTGATTACCTCCAATGTCCATTGATAATGTGATGGGGAAGGACAGATACCATAAAAAACAGAAAGCTTGAAATACACAGGGACAAAATTAGACAGCCTTCATGCCTTATTGAAGTGGGTTCAAAATTTATTTCTCTAATTTGGTGGTATAGTACTGTATTTGTATTTGTGCTGTTTGGGCAAAAAGCTCCAAAGTCTCACCATTTATTATTTCTTCAATGCATTTTTTCTTTTGGAAATTCCATAGAATGGTTAGAACCTGATTTAAATAAAATTTTATCATGCCTAATTGGAAAGGAAACCACATCACAATTTGATGCTTTTATTTAACAAGAGCTGCCTTGTATATAACTTACTGTACATCCCTCCACACACACTGTGCATGGTAAGATAAGGATGTACCATCCTGCACAGAATGAAGCCACCCAAAAGCTGAGGAATAAAAACACCAGGAACCAAAGGAGCATATTCAGGCCATTTGCTTCTCCTTCCCCACTTCCAGCACTAGCTCTAGACATTTTTTATTCTCTTCAAATCAACTTCCTGCCAAGAAAACAATCTCTTGTCACCATGAGGCAAGGAGGGATTTGTTCCCATGAATTATTACACTTCAAACTTTTTGCACAGTTTGTTATTCCATGAAAACAACCTCATTGAATATTCAAACTTTTTTGATTTTGGGAAAGGGGAGGTGGGGGTTCTTCCTTTTTATCCTAAAAAAAAAAGAAACTGCAAAGGATAAATTAGTAATTTATATCTTCAAAAACTGTGCTAAGCTTTTAATTTTCCCATTTCAGTTACTAATTGAGGATAAGCTAGCTACCTGTACCATCCCATATACTATAAATATACTGTAGCACCAAACTCAAAAGTATTTGCTGGATACTTTTGGTGGGAATCAGATGTACATGTACCACCTGCATGTACACATCTGGTGATGTTTGGGACACACTTGCGTGAATGCAAATATCTGTGGGCCACAATTGTAGCTCAAATGTACACCAATTTCCTCATCTGGATATAGAACTTTCATCCATGAGATCAATTGCAATAAAAAAATTAATGTCATAAA